ATCACAGGAAGAGGAATTTTCCTTTCTCGAGCTCCACTTTCAAAGTCATCAAATGCATCGTGATAATGGTCAACTTGAAAGACATTAAAAATTTCCTCCTCCTTACCTACTCGGAATGTCAACTTGCCTCTCCCGGCATCGATGAGTGCATCGCCAGTGGCTAGAAAAGGTCTACCAAGAATGAGAGGCACTCCCCGATCTTCTTCCATCTCCAGAATCACAAAATCTGTTGGGAGAATAAACTTCCCCATCTTCACCAATACATTCTCCACCACTCCCTTTGGAATTTTCACTGACCGATCGGCCAATTGGAGAGTGATCCGAGTAGGCTTAAGAACATCTCTCATCCCAATTTCTTGTAGACTGAGTATGGCATCAAATTAATTCCTGCTCCAAGATCACAAAGTGATTTATCAAACTTTGTACCTCCAATGACACATGGAATGGTGAAACTGCCCGGATCATCCCTCTTTTCTGGTAATTTATTCTGAATCACAACACTACATTCAGAAGTAAGGGTTACCTTCTCTAAATCAGCCCATTTGCTCTTCTTTGTCAGCAACTCCCTTAAGAATTTAGCATATGTAGGCATCTGTTCAAGTGCCTTCGCCAACGGTATGTTGATATGAAGTTGCTTGAAGATATTCACAAATTTATTGAAGTTTGGGTCTTCCATGGGCTTCATCAACCTCTGAGGAATTGTGCGGGAGGTTCATAAGGCTTTACCTCTTCATTCTTGAACTTTTCCACTTTTGTGACAAGAAAATCAATTGAAAGAGAAATTCAGGTTCATGGAGAGAATAGGTCCATCAAAGTAGCATAAATGGAGTTGCAGAAGTATGATTAGAAATTGAATTTTGGTTTAAAACATATACGTTGAGAGATTGAAGATGGAGGGGATAAAAGGTTGGTTGTACAACGGAGAGTGAAAACTATTGGATCTTTAGGTATTATGGTTGTTACAACTGCCACAACCTATGTTTATGTTAAAACATGGATTCATTGATTGATTTACTAAAGTTAAGGTCGATTCACTATTCAAACTACTGGAACCTATAGATAAGGAGTGTCTAATTTTGTGCCTCATTACTTTGATCGAGTCTATTAGTATATTGGATGTAACTCTAATTTTGTCATTTGCTCTCAAGTTTTGATGGTCTCCTTTTAGTTGAGTTGTTAGCATATGATGTACTTGAATCAACAACTCTTCATTTCAGTTCTTTTTTATAAATCCATTTATTTTTTATTAGTGGCAATGTTATTCATATAGGAGAGCTTTGAACCATTATATGGGATTGTGAGGTTTCATTTCAGGACAATCTATTATATTATATATTTCTGGACAATCTATTAACCAATATCATTTTAATGGGGGCTCAATTATCATTATGAAATTCTTAAATGAGGAGGGTATTTCCCTGAATGTTCGACCTATATTCATTCTTTATGTAGCATCTTGATAGAATGATTTTCAATAAACTTAAACATAACATAAAAATATAAATACTGAAATATGAACATTCTGGCCAACGGGCCAAGTTATAAGTTATTATATTGTACAAGAGTTAGGGGAAGTTTTTCAGCATTTCGAATTTTCTGCAACGAGAGCGAAAGTAGGAAGGGTAATTGTGTCTTCCAATCATTATTTATTTTTCATTCATAAGAAGAAAAAAAAATCAATCTCGGAATTCGAACCATGATCTTTCCAAAGAAAGACAACAACCATTACCAGTTATAGTTAAGAAATATTTTGTATCTTTTTAAATACAAAAACTGAAAATCTAAAATCTAAAAAATATAGGACTTTTCCACTATTGTTAGCTAGCCCACTAACTCTCCCAAAAGTAAGTTTTTATTATTTCATTTTTTTTTTTCATTTTTTTCATTTTTTGACAAAAACTCACTTATTATATTATTTTTCATATTTTTATTATTTTAATTTGATTTCAATAGTTAATTTCATTTATGTCCTCCTATAAATGGAGAATAATTTTAAAATTGTAACCCAAATATCATTGATTCGATTATTGCATATTGAATTGCAGTATTGGTTGTGTAGATGTGATGTAGAATTCTTAAATTGGTATTAATTTGTAGAACTATTAAAGCAACGATATTGTTATGCAAACTGTAAGTGACCAGTTTTTTGAAATTTTTAGTTTGGTTAATCATTAAATCCTAAATTTCTTGATAATATGGCATGATTGGAAAAGTATGTGAGTTTAAAAGAACACAATTTATACCCTTATAAAAAAAGAACATAATTTATGAATACCAATTTTTATGGGTTCATTGCATGTTTGGTCACTGAGATTACAAAAAACGTTCATGTTTGGTCACTGAAAATATTTAAATCTAATCTTGGTCACTCAAATTAGTTAAATGGTTCAAGTTTGGTCACTCTCCGTCCAATTCCATTAAATTTGCATGATGTGGCAGTCAACCCTCAAAGTTGACCGTTAAGTCAGTGACGTGGCAATTAAAAAATAATAAATAAAATAAATTTTTAATCTTCTACCATTTTCAACTCATTTTCAAAGTAAAGGAAAAGAAAGAAAACAAAAAATATTATAAATGGTGTTTGTAATTGTGGTGTGACGAAGCCTACAACAGATTTAGCGATTGGAACGGTGCTTGGCGTCATGCAACAGATTTGGATTTGGGGCCGATTTGGGACCATGGTTCGAATTCCGAGATTGATTTTTTTTTCTTCTTATGAATGAAAAATAAATAATGATTGGAAGACACAATTACCCTTCCTACTTTCGCTCTCGTTGCAGAAAATTCGAAATGCTGAAAAACTGCCCCTAACTCTTGTACAATATAATAACTTATAACCTGGCCCGTTGGCCAGAATGTTCATATTTTAGTATTTATATTTTTATGTAAAACCCGTGTTGACGGGTTTTGGGCTGGGTTTGGGTTTAAACCCGTTCAGTATTCACCCGATTGGGTTTGGGTTTAGGTAAACCCGTCCACGCCCATATAATTATTTTTTCGGTATATTTAATATTTAAACAACTAATATTCTTTATGTTTGTGGAGGCATGTCTATTTTTTTTCTAATTGTGTAGAATGAAGTTGATATTATCGAGTTGAGAGTGGAGAAGCTTAATTGACAAGGAGGAAAAAGCTTTCAATTAATCATGTTATTTATGGATAATTTGTGATTTGCTTCAATTTTCTTGAGTTTTCTAGATTGGTGTTGAACAATATGTATGATTAATTTGTGATTTGCTTGAATTTTCAAGAATGGTGTTTTATATATGGATAATTTGTATTGAGAGATTGATATTTGACTTTTATTTTTTATAGGAACTTGTTATTGTTAATTTTTTACGACAAAAACTCATGGGTACCCATGAACCCGCGGATACCCAGCGGATTGGGTTCGGTTTGAGTTTTTCAAACCCAATGGGTTTTACCCTTGGTTTTTTCACGGATAAACCCAAGGGTTTGCGTTTGGGTTTGGCAAAACCGACCCAACCCGATCTTGGCGCAGCAGACAACTTCTTCATCAGGAAAAATTTAATGATCAATTTTTTTTATTAATTTGTAAATGACACGTCACTCATTTAACGATCAACTATAAAAATTGACTGTCACATTAGCAAAAGTTAACGGAGACTAATGGAGAGTGACCAAATTTGAACTATCGAACTAAATTTAATGGCCACAAATAAAATTAAATATTTATAGTGTCCAAATATGAACATTTTAACAGGGGCGGACCTGTGTGTTGGCTAGGGGTGTCGTCTGACACCCCTCCGCCCTGAAATTTTGTGAAGGACCTATATTTTTTCGGTACAAAAAATTTTAATACAATATTTTCGACACCGCTCTAATAATTATAGACGAACACATTCATTATACTATAAATTATTTATTGTTATAAATGTATTCATCTTGATTTTAATTATTTATAATAAGTAAAATAAGTTTGGTTTAGTCTAAATAACCCATCACTATAACATTTCACCCCACACACAAACAGCAGTAAAACCATAACCCCATTAACAAACGCTGTGTTTCAACCCTCCATTTCACCCATTTGTTTATTAAAAACATAAAAAAAAAACTATCTATCCTAAAGACTACCGACGAGAGAGACCCACCCACCCCTTTTGCCATTAAGCCTGGAATTGCCTCTGTTTCTTACTGCGAGTGCGAGTGCGAGAGCCGAGAGGAGAGGAAGATAGCTACGCCTGCGGCCCGCCTCTTCCGACCTGTGCCATTAAGCCTGGAATTGCCTCTGTTTCTTACTGCGAGTGCGAGAGCCGAGAGGAGAGGAAGATAGCTACGCCTGCGGCCCGCCTCTTCCGACCTGTGCCCCCGTCGACTGCCGCATCGCCGGCAGCCAACTAACTCTTTTGCTGCTTTTGATAAAGCAAAGTTGATGAGTCTTACTGAGTTTTATCATGAGGAATTCCCATCCAATGTACACTCAAGATTTGATCAACAATTAAGGGGCTACATTTTTCATGTCAAGGAAGATAAGAGCTTTAATGGATTGCGGGGAATCGATGAGCTAGCTAGAAAATTGGTGGAGAGAGAAAATGATACTTTATATTCTTTAGTTTTCTTGTTTCTGAAGTTGGTGTTGACTTTACTTGTTGCAACTGCAAGCTGGGAAAGAGCATTTTCAGCTATGAAGATCATCAAGAATGATCTTCGAAATTGGTTGAGTGACCAATTTATGAATGATTGTTTAGTTGTGTATATTGAAAAAGGTTGTTTTGCAACTTAAACGATGAATGTATTCTAGAAACATTTCAGAATATGAAAAGTCGTCGTCCGTTGTAAATGTGACATTATGAACTTATGAATTAATTTCTAATAATTTTTATTTAATTATTTTATTTAATTTTTTAATTTTTTTGGCGACACCCTCTTCGACAATTCCAAGTCCGCCACTGATTTTTAATAAACCCAGTGACCAAACTTGCGGTTAACTCAAAAAAGTGTACATAGATTTCATATTTAAATAGAATTTCGTGTCTCTTACTCTCTCTATCTTATTCTTATGGGGATAATAGTTAATTTCGATCTCTCTTTTTATTATTTCAATCTCAATAATAATAAATCTGTCGCTCCACAAAAGAAGCGCCAACGAATTTGGATCCCTCAATTCCACCGGATATCCAAATCGCACCGGAACTTTGTTCTATTCTGCTCTCCGTCACTCAATTGCAATCGGGTAATTTGTCTGTTTTCCTTTCTCCTCGCCATTCTTCTGCTGCAATTCCTCATCCATTTCCATCCTGGCATCGCTCTCCCTCGGTAACTTCCTTTCACAACGCTTTCCTGATCGTGTTTGGCTTTTGTTAATCCACCCAAGTTGGAAATCGATTGCTCTACTTTCTGGCGATTTCCCCAATCCCGCGGTCCGTCTGTCAGTTAATCCGCCTGAATCATTTCTGATTTCATTGGGCTCGCATACTAGGCCACGCATTTAACTGCTCGTCCGTCACAACTCAGAACCCTGTTTGTCTCCTGAGAAAACCTTATGACGCTAATTTAGTCGCTGTAGCAAAGTTTAGGATGCACTTTTCCCTTCGATCCAGCTCCTCATCCTGTATGAAGTACATGATCCCCTGCTTTCGTTTGCTGAATTGGTGATTTTTGAGGGTTTTCTAGTTTTTATCATTTTGGCCTTCATGGGTTGCTCTTGCTCATGCTACTATTCAGATTCCGTCTCTAGTTTACCGAACCCTGGAAGAGTGCTTTCTACCTACAACACTTTCCTTCGCCTAATGAAAACTAGTCTAATTTCAGGCTGAATCTAATATCCTACTTGCGATGGACCGCCTCAAGGATCCTGCTCGTCTTATGATAGTCTCGGATCTTGATCATACCATGGTACACTTGGTCGCTTCTTCTGTTCCTTTTCCTTTCTCTATTCCCCTAGTTATGGAGTTTCACTGTGCATTTTGCTATGACTTGTAGGTTGATCACCATGACGAGGAGAACATGTCTCTCCTTAGGTTCAATGCATTGTGGGAAGCCCATTACCGGTTAGACTCTCTCCTGGTGTTCTCCACCGGGAGGTCACCTACGCTGTATAAAGAATTGAGTAAGGAGAAACCCATGTTGACGCCTGACATAACTATAATGTCTGTGGGAACTGAGATCACTTATGGTAACTCTATGGTCCCTGACGATGGTTGGGTTGAAGTTCTGAATCACAAATGGGACAGGAAAGTTGTTACAGAGGAGACTAGCAAGTTTTCTGAACTTAAGCTCCAGGTAAGGTTTGAGAGTAATAGCATTCTGGTTCATTCAATGGTTTGTCGTGTGCACCAGAACTTCGACCATAAATAATCAGGTTGATGCTGTAAGTAAAAAACTTTCTTTTTTCACTGCAAATTGTTGATTGAATAATTGGCTCTTTTGAGTAATTTGGAAGTTTGGACACATGCAGTCAGAGACAGAGCAGCGACCTCACAAGATTAGCTTCTATGTGGATAAAGCTAAGGCTCAGGATGTGATAAAGGCCCTCTCTGATATATTCCAGAAACGTGGGGTGAGATCAAGCTTCTGACTTGTAATGATACTTCTTTGGAGTGTCCTTATTTAAGGTTGATGAAGTGAACATTTGAATCTTTCGTTACACTATTGTTTGTTACGTTGCCAGTTGGATGTGAAGATAATTTACAGCGGAGGGATGGATTTAGATATCCTTCCACAAGGAGCTGGAAAAGGCCAAGCTCTGGCATACTTGCATAAGAAGTTCAAGAGTGAGGGGAAACTACCAAAGAATACTCTTGTCTGTGGTGACTCTGGAAATGATGCAGAACTATTCACCATTCCTGATGTGCATGGAGTTATGGTAGGATCTTGGTCTTTTATGGTGTTGGTCGAGAGTAAAGATTATCAGGAAGCAGAGCACATTTATGAATCATCCTCCTGCTCTGGAATTTTTCATTTCCTTATACAGGTTAGCAATGCTCAAGAAGAACTTCTGCAGTGGTATAATGAAAACGCTAAGAGTAACCCTAAAGTAATCCATGCAACAGAGAGGTGTGCAGCTGGCATTATTCAGGCCATTGGTCATTTTGGACTTGGCCCAAATACTTCCCCAAGAGATGTAACCAAGTCTACTGAAGGTGATGCACAAAGCATCCATCCCAATCATGAATTGGTCAAATTCTTCTTGTTCTTGGAGAAATGGAGGCGCGCAGAAATCGAGAATTCAGAGTCATTTTTGTCAAGTTTCAAAGCTGATTCAGTAAGCTCACTATCTTTATGACATTCCTGTCAATGTTTCTAGTATGCCGTATTCATGCATCTATTAGGGTATGATTTTTGAGAATTCTAGGCTGACATCATATTAAAGAACAGCACTGCTGTTTACCAAGTCTTCTTGGCTATTATACTGAAGAACCGTATAATTTTTTTTACCTGTGAACAAATCCCTGTGAAAGTTGCAAATGTATCTAATAGAGTTGGTTGTTTTCTGATAAGGGTACGATTTAGTGGATTCAACCAGTTGGACCAGAGGTTTTTGGCACTAAGTTTGGAGCTTCCCTTTCCTTTTACCTTTTGTCCAGGATGCATCTGGGAATCTTGTTCATCCATCTGGTGCTGAGCTTTCTCTCTCTGATGCTATGAATAAAATTAGGAGTTGCTACGGTGACAAGCAGGGGAAACAGTTCCGGTTCTGGGTGGACCAGGTTTCATCCATCCCAATTGGCTCAAATACATGGCTAACAAAGTTCTATAAGTGGGAACAATCAGGTAAGAACCTTTCTTGAGGATCCAAACTTCGTTATCATGATATTAGAGTGACACGATTCAAAATAACTAGTGGGAAATGTAAACTGACGCAGTATAGAATTTTTCTAAACATTATATGGTAGTACAGCCCTGATATTCTTGTATAAAGCCTCTGAATGAAGTGGCCTCTTGCTTTGGTTGAAATTGCTTGCAGAGGAGGAAAGGCAAGGTTGTGTGACCACGTGTATAGTTAGTTTGAAGGTTAGTCTAGAAAATGTGAAATTAAAGTTAACCGTATATTTTCAGTGATCATCATATGAAGTGCATGACATGACATTACAATTGTTTTGTTTGCTGTTGTTGTTAGGCTGGCAATCCGACTCCAACGTTTTTGCATGTGCACCAGACATGGTTGGAAGTATCAGCAGCTTCTAAAGATCACTCTACCTGGATCTTTTAGATCTCTCTCTTCCTCTCTCTCTGTAACATCCAGGGAAAAAGAAAGGAAAAAGTTTGGTTTACTGGAAATAAGCAGCCCAATCTACTACTGTTTCGATTGTTTTTTTGTAATAGGTTCATCTCATTTCCATCCATCACAAAGTACGTACACAGCCAAGGATGATGATTGATGGGTAACATTACCTGATTAAAATAATGCAGTAATGCTGCTGCTGCTATGCCTTCCAATGATCTTGCCGTTGCTTTCACGTTAGTAGTGATCTGATATTGTGTTGCCCTTCATGTACGTGGAAACTGTTTTGCTATTCAACTCAAAAGTCAAAACTCCATTCACAGGCCATCTCTGGAAACGTCTCCTCCTGTCAAATACTCGAAAGCGAAACCGACGTTTAGCTTTTACTGTGTGAGGCCCATCGTTTCGCTGTTCTTCTGGTTGCTGCAATTGTTGGTTTCTAATTGGTTAAATTAGCAGGGCAGGGCCAATACGGTGTCTTATCTATCTTATTCTTATCTAATACTAGCACAGGACCCGGCCCGTTGGCCGGAAGAATTTTGTCGAGAAATATGCTATATAATAATGAATATATAATAGAGGATTTGAAATGCACAAAATAATTGTAAACTAACTTAGTTATCCACATAACATTTTTGAAAGTGATCCAACTATTTCATAATATGTCTAGACCACCATGAAATAAGCATTACTTATAATTATTGAATAATAATAAAAAATATAACTAATTGTCATCCATTATTTAATTAAACTATATAATTGAATATTAGAGTTGTTTCTCATAATACATACATAATCAACCTTTAAGATGAAAGAAAATGTCTCTCATAGAGTTAAGTATGTCCTTTAAGTTTTTCCCAATATAGAGCATTCTTTTTTACCACACCATTGGTAATGAATCTGAAGTTGCTTGATTTGAAATATATAGGACATGATGCTAAATTGTCGCTAATAGTTGGTTGGAGAATGTGTTGTGTATAGATTTCCAAAATTATTCTCAGATCGCAGACATGTTTAACAACAATGTAGTAATTTTCATGCAACAAATATTTTTTCATGAAATAATTCAATAAATAAAAACCTATGAAAATCCTATTACATGAAATGAAATATATAGTACTCATTAAGTTGATGAATGAGCAAGGGTATAAGTAACATACATCTATTTTAAAAATATAGAAGTTGCAAAGTGTCTTTTGGGTTTAATGAGATCGGATATTCTCATTATCTGACTTTTTTTTTTTTTTTGCAATAAATAGTTCAAAATGTGCCTTAAAACTTCTGTTTCCACCAGTGTAAAAGAATTGTTTGAACCAAATGATTACAATAGTATAAAAAAAATTGACAGTAGAGTATTTTATGCTGAAACCATAATTTAACTGTGGTTCAACCGTTTCATATTGCTAAATATCACCTATCGATTTAGCCTATGGTGTGAAGTTTTATGGTCGAGCCGCCAATATGTACGATCTTTCAATTCAAACTTTAAATAAAAAACCACTAAAATATTGATATGATCAAATACCTTTAAATCTCATAAATTACCATAATCGTATTAAGGAAAAAATCATCCAAATGATAATATTGATTTAGGATTTTATGGTGTCATTTGGAAGTTGCGATTGTTAAATAGATATTGTGTTGTGAATGCATGTATAATATTATATGTATTGTCGGATTAGATGCATTGTGTATGTCACATAAGCTAAAAGTTTAGACAAAACAATCCCAACTCAACTATCTCAACAATAACAACTAAAATTTGAGATTTAACAATTCTCATTTTGATTGATAGTTTCGGTCACATCACAGATGTAATCCATGTATTGGTTCTACTAAAAAATATAAAAATGATGAATTCTAAACAATACATGTATAGTAAATCTCAACAAAACAATCACAACTTTCAAACGACCCCTTAATCGAAATGAAAAAATTCTATCAAATATAATGTCATCTCCTAAAATAAATCAAAATTCAACAGGGCAAAGATTACCCACTAAGCAAAACAGAAGAGCAATTATTTCACACTACCTCATTCCCCCCCCCCCCTCGTTAAAGTATGTTCTCTCACTCTCTCTTATGCCTCGTTCACTTGCCATTTTGTTTTATGTTTTCTGCTGTGACAACAAAAATAAAAATAAAAAACAAATTGTAAGAAATGTGTTCACTTGCAATTTCATTGTCGTTGGAAAAAATAATGGAGAATAAAAGAGGCAGTTGGGCGAAAACAATAAAACATCCTTTGCTGGAAAATGAGAGACGAATTTCCTCCCGTTGCCCATTGGGTTATGCCCCCATTCCTTTTAATGAGCCTAGCGTTCGAATCCCTTTGCCACATTTTTTTTATCCTTTTGTTCACTTAGACCAACGACGCCGTTTTGCTAACCCCAGCTCCCATCGTTCTTCTCCCAGCCTCCCCCAAACTCGACCTCTCCATCGAACGAAGTTGCTACAGTTCGCCTCTTCTTCCTCTAGCAGATGGAGAGAAGATCGATCCGACGAACTCCTTCTATAGTCGGCGAAGCTCCAACGACGAAGGACAGGTTTGCTTTGAGATGCCAGCAGGTATTACCCTTCCACCGCTAAGTTATATCATTCTCAAAGGCTTAGATCCTCAAGGTCATATCAATAGAGGTGTGGATTAGGATGGATGAGACAATGGTGGCTACACTTGCCCAGCGGGTCGTCGATAATCCTCTTTGTTTTTCCATTTGTTTTTCCATCTCTCTCTTTGAGCTTTGTATCTCACCACTCTCCCCCCTTCCTTCCTCTTTCTTCCCACCGCTTGGAATTGAGAGAAACCTAGAAACATCCCAATTACTTATCCAATTTTGCATTTGAAATGCTTCTTCTCCATTCACAATCAAAAGTGTGAATCAGAGGACCTGAAACCTGGCGACCAAATGGCCGCTTATTCCTCTCAAATGGCGCATTTCTCCATAAAACACGAGTGCACCAATATAGACTATGTGGTGCTCGCACTTGTGCGCGAGCGCTTGAAGTTGAAGTCAGGTATGACCCATGAAGCATTCATACTTATATAGGGTCGATCCATATACATTGTCTTCATGGTATGCTCTAACTGTGTCATGCTAGCTCGATCATGTGTCTGCGTATAGTTACATGCATTCTAATAATTAAGTTTTTATATATTCACAACACCAAGATAAAAACAATCATAAATGCTAAAATAAAACATTTGAATCAACTACCACTGATGCCGCAAATAATAAGTATATCTCTAAATCATACATAAAATATTTCAAACATAAAAAATATTAAGATTAAATTAATTATTATAAAGAGTAAAAATTATATAATGAGGTTAATTATAACTCATTTATATGTCAATGCCCTTAAATTGATCAACACACCCAAAAATGGAAAAATGAACATCACATTAAACCTAATATCTTCTCATTATTGTCGGATCCATTCATGCTAGATTAGCAAAAGGTTTAATGTTTACCAATTAACCAGGCTAAAATTTTAGAGAACCAGTCACATATAGTTTGTACAAAATATTATTGCTTCGTAGTAGTTCTGTAAATTTATATTAATTAAAGAATTCTACATCTCTGTTGCATATTCAATACTGCAATTCGATATGCAATTCAAGCATTGAATTTGTGTTGCAATTTTAAGATTACCCGTCATTTTATAGGTTATAAATGAATTATAAATCACGTATTAAACTTTGCTTTTTAGAATATTTAATAGGCTAGCTAAACGTGATGGAAAGTTCCTATGCTTTTCAAATATTCGCTAAGTGTATGCTTACAATTCAAGAAGATAAAACAAATTTGTTTAGTGTAATTGGTTGTGATTTATTTTTCTAAGAGTCCATGGTTCAAATCTAGATGTTAATACCTTTTTATAAGAAGTAGATAAATAATTGCGATGAAAAAAATACTCTTCCTACTTTCAGTCTCGTTTCACGAAATTGGAAATGAAAAATCTTAAAACGTTGAATATATCTTATAGAAAAAGCTTCTTCAACCAGGTAAGAAGGACATTTTACCTGAAATTATTATATCTTATAGAAGTGATTAATTGTGAAATCGGAACTCAAGTAACATTTATTCAAACATTAAATATTAAATTGTATGTGTGGTATAGTTTAGATAAAATACATGTGTGTAGCCAAAACATGGGTCTTCGTGACTTATATAGTAACTTTTTGTGACAAATCTACACATAAAATAAAGATATATTTGGCACTATGACGAAAAAAGAGGTTCGTAGAATCACTCTCAGACCACGAAATTTAAAAGAAGACTCTCATTTTCCAATTTTATCATTATATTATGTGTAGATTTGTCACAAAAAATGTTATACTCGTTACAAAGGTCCATGTTTTGGTTACACTTTTGTAGTTTGTCTAAACTAAACTACACATTCAATTTAATATTAATTTTTGAATCAATACTACTTGAGTTCCGATTTCAGAACTAATCTCATTCTATAAAATATAAATAACTTAAAGATAAAATATAAATATAGAAGCATCATCACAAACATATTCCTAGAGTTTAATCAAAGAAATAACAATAGATATAATGTAGCCTAGTTGGTTATAATACTCTTTCTTCATTTAATTGATCCAGGTTCGAACTCCAATGATAACATTTTTAATATATAAAGATAAAGTGGGCGCAATGACAAAAATGTCCTTCCTACAATCACTCTTAGGCCACGAAATTTGAAATGGGAGAATTCCAACCCATGTTTTGCCTTTATATATCTTGTAGATTTAACACTTAGATAAAAAAGCCAGGCTTACGAAAGTCAATGTCGTGATGCACCATCTGGGTTACATAAATTTGAGTAGTTGTAAATAACACGATGATGATCCAGTGAAGGAGTGGAGTAGAATGAATCATCCTCAAAATGGTTGAGTCTAGAAGCTCACGTACTTGAACAGATTTTTTGGGCAGAGCATATGGCTGCTGTGGCGCCAGAGCAGTCCGCCACTTGTTAGACGCACACACAAACCATGGTATCCTGCTTCTCTGTATTTAACTACTTAATTAATATATAAGTAGAGTTGGAGCGCGATCATATTCATAGATAGTATCCTGCTTTACCCTTCTTCTATCATCTCCTCTCATGCAAAGCAAAGGGTAGTCGAGAGTGGGCTTGTGTTTCCACTAATTACTCTTCTGCCTACTAATCCTTACCTCGATCATCAATCGTCAAAGGGTGTGGAGTTGTTGGGTGTTTTCTTTTTCCTCTTCGGTGGGTGGGTCTTTGGAGAAACCGTCCGTTGGACATTTATGACACCTGGCTGGGCGGGCTGCTCCCTTGTCATCTCATCATCACTCTCTCTTTCGCTTTCTCTCTCCTCCAACAGCCAGAATAGAAACCAAAACTACTAATTTGCTTTCTTCCTAATTGGAGTCAGCTTTCACATGCATTTCCATTCCCCGGCCCTGCATCTGTGCTCATTTATAAGCGTGCGATTGATGATGATGATGAGTTGGTGGTGGGTGAAAGGAGCTGGTTACGTGGCGGCGGTGGCAGTCTCAGGCGGAAGCGTAGCACTGATTTCTCGTCAACTCCACCACCGTCTCGTCAACGATTTCATGTCTCAGCTCCAATTCCATCTGCTCCCTTCCCCTTCCCCTCCCCCTCCCAGACCCAAACCCAAGACGGGCAAACGGGTGCGTTTTGCCGATGACGTGGTGGCAAGAGATGAGCTCAAGCAGAACGCTGCCGCCGCCGCTGGGGGCAGGTCGGCGGAAGCCTGGTCAACTGGCAATGTCTCTGCAGCGGTCACGATGAAACCATTTTAAACTTCAACTTTTGGTAACTTTATTTCCAGTTGTGGAGAGTAGTTGTTGTGCAGTTGTGGTAGACGATTAACTACTGTGATTCGAAAATTATATTTATATTGTTTTCATGTAATTAATCAATTAATTGCAAGGTTTATTTTGTTTTTGCTTGTGCCTTGTGGTGTGGTGTGGTGTAGTAGAATTTGTTTACCAAAACGGACCGAACAACTTTCCATATGTGGAAAGATTTGAGTGGTAGCGCTACAAGAAGAGCTGGGCTTTTCTATCTGTAGTGGAACGACGTCACTTTAACCGTGTGTGCTGCGTGTCAGCATATCCGGTGTCTCCCCGGCTACCAGTTTTTGATGAGTTATTCAAAGTTCTAACTGCCGGTGAAGGGGAAAAAAGATAAATATAAAGAGTCCAATTCCAATAAGATTCGAACCGATGACATCTTAATTCGCGGACAAATAAATCTAAGAAGACATGTGTTACTTCCAAATTAATATCATGTTGTCAAGTCAATATTACTAAGAGAATGGGTAATTGAAAGTTAGACATTTAACTAATTAATGACATTTTAATAAGTTTAGATAATATAAAATAATTTAAAAAAAGTTTGGATAAAAATAGACATTACCAATCAACTAATATATAACAAATAAGTAAATTATATAATAAAATAATAATCAAAATTCTTTAAAATATAAAAATTGCGTACACTATATTGGCCCAATTTCTGTGTCACTGTTTCACTCTCTCTCGTTTAGTGAGAAAACATGTCTTGATCTTGAACCTGGGAACCTCCTCAATCCTCATAGCCAGCTCCCGGTTATCTTCAAACTGTTGTTATTACTTGAAGGTTTTGACTTGAGTGCTAACTGTTCCATCTAATCCATAGGTTGGAAAAGGCAGAAATGTAGGTTTGTTGGCCTGTTTTCGAAACTCAAAACTTGGAGAACAATGTTATCTTTTCGTAGAGGGTGAGTTGAGCTATGGAGCGGGTGAGTTGCAAAATGCTAAGTTGCTTACATTAAGATGTGTATTTAATGGCATGATTTGGTTAGGAGTTTTCTATTCCATGGAAATGAGGGTATGAGAAGCAAAGGGTTCTTGGATTACTTTCCGGAGTAGCAGTTGCGGGATGGGACTGTGAACTAGAACCGAAGCATATTGGGTTGTCGTTCGAAAACCGCCCCTGGATGCAAGGGGAGAATCATTGCAAACAACTTAATTAGAGTATACGACTACCAGAGATTTTGTAGATGCAAACCAGTTCTGAGTTTTCTTCTGCCACAAAATGGCCATGGATTTTGCTCAATTATATTTAGTTCAATCTGCAACTTGGGAAAGAAGCTAGGAAAATTGGACTGTGTTTCTCTTATGCCAAGGCTGAATGCCTTATTTCTACTAGAAACATGCATTAACGCTTACCTTCGCCACCATGAACGCACTTTAAACCCTGCTTGTCCATTTATGGTGTGTAGATTTTTATATGTTCGGATGTAACCCATAATAAATTTTACTCAAAATCTAAATAGCCGCTTTTGATGTTTTATGTACACTTTTAATACTACTGCTACAACAATTATTGTCTTTCATAAGACATGGAAAACGATTGACAAATCAATTTTGAGAGGGCATTTGCATTTTACTTTCGCTTTTAGAACGTGGAGCTTATTGGTAACATGTAGGATCATCATGCTAATCAACTATGTAACTTAAGATACACCACACTTACAATACTCTGAAACCCATACAATTTCCAGTAATAAAACAATCCCAGTTCATCGTCACCTAAACTACCCACCATACGATCATGCTTTTTTAATTTTAGTTCCCGCGGTGTAGTAGCGGGTATTGATTCTAATATTTTTAATTTGTTCCAAACTTTGAAGAAAGAGTAAGAGATTCAAATCTTGGTGGTTACGCGAAAGGTGGGAGGCACCGTCCTTATCCAATTGTTCACTTTTCTTCTTCTTTAATGATTACATCGCTCCCTTCATTCATCACGATTTCAAACTCCCAGTCCCAATCTCTCAAATCCCAAATCACCGCCGGCTCGTTTTTCCTACAACCCATCTACTGCTCTCTACCTCCCCCCTCCAGCTATCTTGGAACCTTAGATCTGAAGCAGATCGGAGCGGACGACGGGTTCGATTTGCTAAATTTAGGGAGGGGAAATGGCTCTACGGATGGTGTACGGGGTGGTATTCCTGTCCTTCTCGTGCGCCTGCTTCATGCTTCTCCATCTCCTCCTTATTCCAGTCTTGTACGTCGCTCCCTGACGCAATCACAGAGAAGACGGCACGATGGCGATCGTCGGCCGGATGAGTACAGTCAGCTTCTTTTGCTATCGTTTCCTCCGTTTCTCTGTAACAATTAATCGGAGATGGATTTTTTTAGATAGTCCAGTTCTCTGCTTTATCCTCTGTTGTGTTGTTCTCTCTGCTTGGCTTTGGAGGGCTGAGGGGATTTATCGATCTGGTAGTGTTCAATTTTGTTGTTGGATTTTGGGCCTTTGCTTGTATTGTTTGTTTGTACCAAAACAAAGCATGGTCGTATGAAATGGAACAGATCTGAGTTATCTACCTCAACCCTTTTGAAATGGCTAACCCACTACTTGCTGATCCATTAGCACAGTGGATTGACTTGGAATCCCAATTGAAAGGCATAATTGTTTTCGCCTCTGCAACAGTGAGATTAGAAGTGACGAACACCCCATCCATCAGTCATCACACCCAGTAATCAGTGTCCCAAATTTTCGACAATTGATTGATCGTACTAGTAGCTGCACCGATGCTTGGAATGGATTTGAATTCTTTTTAGGATGACTGGCAGTCAAGGGCAGGCAGAGGGATGATATCCTTACTCAAGACGTCAAGTCTTTCGTCCTTCAAATTTTCATGCCATAATGTCCATGGTTGAGTTCGCTAAAAATTAACCTAAACCCAAACACACAGAAAAACAGATCAAGGCTTTCTCTTGCAACCGGAAAAAAAAAAAAAAAACACCCAAATCTTTTAATTTTAGGAGGTGCTATATACAAGACCTGGGTCCTCAATGCTATCCTCAGGAATTTATAGTCACTACTTCCAGATACAGAAAACACAAAACAAGATAATTCGTATATATAGTCAAAAGCTGTTCAAATTAGACTCTCCAAGGTTTCATAATAGGAATGATCCAACAAAAGGTATAATATAAAATTATGCACGAAGCAGTTTTTTTTGTTATTGTCATCTTAAAACCCCACCTCAAGAAACAAAGGAAAATCCCTTCAACTCGTCTATTTCCCAGGAGTGGGTTCCCGTTACTATCTTTGCACGTTTTTTCACGAAGGTGTCTGGAATGCCTCCTTCTTCCCATCCGGACATCTTTCCTTTCTTCCAATGTTGGTGTATGGACATTTAATCAAATCACCATAAACAAATCATCAGCGGAGAGGGAAGAAGAAGAAGAGAGTTTGAAAATGGAGAATTCGATGGGAGTTGGTCTGATGGCTGCCTTTGCAGTCTCAGGAAGCGTTGCTCTGATTTCTACCCAGCTCCACAAGCGCCTCATTTCCAATTTCATGGACAAGATCGAAGTTGAACTGGGTTTGTATTATTCCCTTGCCTCCTCTGCTTTTCCTCCTTTTTTTCCCCCTGCTTTATGCAATTTCATTTTTCATCTCAGAATCCCAATTCGATTAATTTCAAGTTCCGAAATTTGATGACAGGGGGAAGAAGAAGAAGAATCCATCACCATAAGCATAAACACCATCACAAGCAGGGAAAGAAGGTTCGATTTGCAGAAGAAGTAATGGAGTTTTCCCCCGTTTCTGGGAATTATGAAGATAGTGATGATTATGACGACGATGGGGACCTCCTGGGAGCAATGCCTGTCAACAGGCAGATGCTTTACAAAGGGATTATGGACGAAAGGACCCTTAAGGAGTACCACATCTCCACTTGTATCTAAGGATTGCTAACAGTTGGGGCAACCAAAAGATTCCATCTTTGGAACTCGCCCAACAACGTCAGAGATCTAATTGCGTCACAATTAAAGGGGGGATTTGATTTTCGGTAGCAGTTGTAAATAGTCATTTGGTTGCAAACTTGCAGCTTTGTTAATAATTTTTCATGTGTAATTTTGTTGTTGATGGGTCGTCAAATCTCTTGATCCCTTATTCTTTGCATAGGCTGACACCATATATGTTCTAATGAGGAAAAATTTATGGGGTGGGGTGATCTCTAATCTGGTATGCGCCAACCACAAGAATTGTAAAGATTTGGTTCAATTTCATTTATGGAATTTTGTTTGTTAAAATGAAACTCAAAAACAGACAGTAAAATGTAAAAGAAGTAAGGCTAAATTAAACAAGAGTCTTGAACTCCAGTTCGGTCACCCTCCAAACATGTCAAGGCAAAGGCCGGTGGACTGGGATGGAGAATTTCGCCTGAGGTGGCCAGATGTGCAGCTTTGGCGAGAGCATCCGCCACCGAGTTTGTCTCTTTGTGAATATGTGTAACGGAGCAACTCCAGTTTTTGTTACGAAGTTGTCGACAGTCCTGAATCAACACTACAAGTAGATGAAAATGGTGTTACCCAGTATTAACGAGCATTACGGTGACTTGAGAGTCCGATTCAACATCAAGCCAACGAGAGGCCATCTCGTATAGCACAGAGTTTCACTGTTAAGATATCACAACTACCAATATAATTAAAAAAAAACTAGCCATCCATCTTCCTTCGGAGTCTTGCAACACTATGCCAATTCATCGGAGAGCTGAATCGACTTCCGTCAACATTAAGTTTTACTCTTATGTCCCCTGGGGCGGTCCATTCGATTAGCCTCGCCGTTGGAGATGTAGTCTCTGGCTTTGCTAGATGGTGACGCTCCAATTACAGGTGTCAATCGGGCGGGTTCGGGCTGGGTTCAATCGGGTTTGGGTTCAAACGGGTTGCGGGTTAGTCGGGTTGCGGGTTCATCGGGTTCGGGTTCAATCGGGTTGCGGATTAGTCGGGTTGCGGGTTCATCGGGTTCGGATTCAATCGGGTTGCGGGTTCATCGGGTTTTGGGTCGGGCGGGTTGCGGGCGGGTCGGGTTTAGGGTTGTTCGGACTAGCGCATCAAGTAACTTAACTCATTACTCATTACCAACTTAGCTTTACTCTCAATCAACAATATTAAGTTAGTATATGTTGTTGATTGTATACCCTAAACCATCAATACATTATACACTAACCACATAACCTATACCCTAACCATATGTCCTTGAGTTGTGATTTTGCTAGTATAGTTAATTTAAAAGTGAAATTCATACTTTGATTTTCAAAACATAGATAAAAAGTGATATTTGCTAATTGTTATACCCTAACCATATATCCTATACTTTACACCACATACCTTGTACCCTAACCACTTACCATAAACATAAATTAAAAAGGGATCTCTTGCCGTTAAAGACTTTAAATGACTTCAAGTGAACATATGTTAATAAAAAACTTAGAACCGTCAAAACCATCAATATCTTATACCCTAACCATATACATCCTAAACCATATGTACCTTATACCTTATACCCTAACCATATACTTTATATCCTAAACAACGAACCGTCAAAGATTACTTATCAAGTTTAGTATAAATTGTTGTAACTAATGGTTAATTTATTTATTAACCCATAAAAAATTACATACATATATACATATTAGCCTTCAAAGCATATAAGAATAATTTTAACTAGTCATGCCCTCCATATAAAAATTAAAGATTCATATTTCAAAAGCTAAAATTATGAAAAACCAAAAAATTGAAAACACCAAATTTGTTTTCTTCTTTCTTTTCACAAATATACTAAAATTTCCCTCCTTCTATCTCTTTCCATACATTAGAAAAACTCAATTTACCCTCCTCTTTCTCTTCCATAAAATTGAAAGAACCAAATTATCCTCTTCTTTCCTTTTACAAAAAGTTGAAAAGTCAAAAGTTTCCCTCTTTAATTCTTTTTCATAATCAAAAAAATCAAACTTTCCCACTTCTTTCTCTTCCCACATATCAAAACCACCACAATTCCCACTTGTTTTTTTTCTAAAAAATTCAAAGAACCAAATTTCCCTCTTCTTGCTCTTTCCAAAAACTTGAATACACCAAAATTTCCCTCTTCTTTTAAAAACCTTAAATTACCAAATACATTACTTTACTTTATTTATATTTAATTGATAATTTTATTGAATAGTTAAATTAACCAAAATTTTAATTTATATATTATATTAATATTGTCATGATCTCAAGTGACCTTCATGTTTTAATTTTTGTAATTTTCTTAAAATACGTAATATCAAGTGAGTTTCATATTTTTAAAATTTCTTATATGAAATGAAAAAATAATTTTAATTAAGTTTAGAATGAAAAAACTTTATTTTGAAAAACTATGTATTGTATATTTTTATAATTATTCAAGTGGATTAGATGAAATTCGGGTTGAGTCGGTCGGGTTACGGTTTAGTCGGGTTCGGGTCAATCGGGTTCGGGTTAATCGGGTTGCGGGTCAATCGGGTTCGGGTTAATCGGGTTGCGGGTTAGTCGGGTTGCGGGTTAGTTGGGTTGCGGGTCGGGCGGGTTACGGGTTGTTGAATTTTATTCAATTCGGGTTGCGGTCGGGTTGCGGATGGGGTTGATCGGGCGAGTTAATCGGATCGGGCTATGTTTTGACACCTATAACTCCAATGCATATCCATGAGCCTTGTGCCAAAAGCCCACTTTCCCCAGTCATCCTCTTCATGAACCCAATAATTATGTTGCCACCAGTGTAGCCACATAACTACCAGAACCCATAAACTCCATTTCATCCCATTGCAACTCATTTCACCATAATGAATAACATTTACCTCTATCCATTCCATGAGATCTAACCCGAAGAAATCTTCTTTAGAAAAGGCAAAACCCATCGCTAATGCGGGCGAGCTTTCAAAGTTGGGTATGCAGTATGCCAGTATCATAAAGGCTCTAATAAGCTGAGCTAGGAGTATAGAGTCATGCACTTGAGTGATTCCAGATCAATCTATCACTCTGGTTAGAAAAGATGAGAGTAGGGTAAGGCCGTTGGTATGAGTTGAAAGTTCTATTCTCCATATGAAGTGATGAGATGTGAGACCTTTAAATTAAGATATTAATTGGCTAGCCTAAAGCTTCACCAAAGGACTCCAACACATTCCTCATAATGACGGCTTGTTGTAAAGAGATTCTTCCAAATACAAATAAGTCATCGATCGACAAAGAATAAGTGAGTGATCGACGATCTTGTCTTTGAAAGCTTAACTGGCATCCAGAGACTAGAGTGAAACTTCTCAGAGATGATGGTGGAAATACGTTCCATAAAAAGTGTAAACAAGTACGGTGAGAGAGGGTCACCTTGATGCAAACCTCATGATAGTTGAAATTCCTCTGTTGGCTCACCATTGAATAAGGTTGAGATAGAGCTATTCTTGACACAAAACATGATAAGTGTTACCCAATCAGGTGGGAATCGAATAAAGAAAGTGTATCCTAAAGAAATCTCCAGCTCATCCGATCGTAGGCTTTCTCAATGTCAATATTGGCTGCCATTCCCATATTTCAGTCTAATTTTTTTATCAAGACTATGCATTGTTTCTTGAACCAGCAATATGTTATCTTGTGTTGACCAATAAGATACGAAGCTACGTTAAAAAGGGTCAATCAAATACGAGATAAAAGGTCTAAGTCATGGGCGACAACCCAGCTTCAGTGATACCTGAAGCTCTAGGCATGGGAGAAGCCGCAACCCACCTCGAAAATATTAACATGGCGCTGCAATTACTGCCACATCATGCGTGACATCATTGAGGATGGTGTTGAAAGATGGAAAGTTGGAAATCAAGGTTCATTGGTGGTAATCAAGCAATCAAACGGGCTTCTTCAAGCTTGCTATATAATCCCTCTCGGTGATATCAAGAAGCTTCAACCTTTTAGAAGCGGTATAGGGCTGTCTACTTAGTGGGCTATTTTGAACAGAGGAATAGGTTCTGTTGATTTAGCGGTGTAACGGGTCTGGTTTGGGATTCGGGGTCTTCTTGTTTCGTTTTGTTCCTTTACAGTTCATGTGCCCATTGGTCTTTAACCCACTATGTTTTCCCCATAGTTCTTTCCTTCTTTGGCTTCTCCTCGTCAATCTTTTGCCTATTGCTGGACAAACTACTCAAGGGAGGTTGTGAGTGTCAGTATTGTACAAAATGGACTAAGAAGATCATCACATACTTAGTGGATTGACTTGCTATGACACAACTCCTAACAAAGGCCAAGTGTAACCAATGAAAGGTACTGCAGTATAGTGGCTCAAGTGATAAATATCGAATCCACGGGTCTCTAGAGTTACTATTACTCAGCTTCAGTTTATTATTTAGCAAACCAGATTAAGATGAAAAAACTAAAACAACTCTAGCAAACTACAGTTAAAGTTAATCTACTTACAAGTTGGGAACTCACTTAGGTATGATTCCCCTTAGCCACTAGCCAGACTAACGATTGATGATTTCTAACTTGTTTCACTTTCATTCACAATGCGGAGAATCCTTGACTAGACCTTGAGTCTCGACTAAAGGAACAAGGCCCTCTTGAGTCAATTGCCTAGAGGGATGTATCCTTCTCTAGAACAACTGATCAAGGCGTTCTGAACTAGACTCCCTCTATCGAAAGAGGTTCTTAATCGATACAAAGCAGTGAATCAACCCTCGACTAAAGAAATCGATCCACTACTATCAATCTATGGTGCTCTATTGACCTAATCAGGTATTCCCTCTCATAGGATCAAAGCAGAATCAACAATCTCGACTAAAGTAGAATTGAATCATGAAAACATGCATAGATTGAATATGAACTCAAGATTATCAAGTCAGAGTACTCATACAATCATCCAATCAAACAAACATAGCTAGGGTTCCTCAAAACCTAAGTGAAGGGAAGTTACTACATAGAGAAGAGAGAGACTGCAGTAAGAATCTTCAGATGATCAGTCTTCAAGTCTGGGCTTGTTCCTCGAGCTTCCAAGGCAAAGAAATCCTCCAATTACACTACAAGAATGCCCTCAATTCGCCCTCTCTCTCTCTTTAATTCGTCCCTTGGGTGTTTGGGATCCAAAACCCAGCTCTCCCTCTCCTTTGGCTCGAAATTGGCTTAAAAAACCCGATTCTGGGCAAAACACTGTCGAGGACACGGCCGTGTTTTGCTTTTGCCCGCCCGTGTTTTGCCCCGTGTTAAAAACACGCCCGCGCGCATCGGCCAAAACACGGTCATGCCTAAATATGGGCACGGTCGTGTTTTGATTTAGGCGCGCCCGTGTTTTTACTGCCGAACCTGTTCCCCTATATTCAA